GGTCGTCCGATTTTGTTAATCACTCGCATTACTTATGCCACTGAAACTTGATGGACACTGTACAAGCATGTTTTAGGCTGTGTGGCTTTGACCAGTCCAATAGTAAGATGCTGACACAAAATTTTATGTAATGTTTTTTAATCTTGTGATTCTTGGGCCTAAATGTTTGAAAATTATTAGCACAAAATCCAGAGGTAGTTTTTGTTACTACCCTTGTGCTCTGTATAAAAAAAACCAGGGCTAAAGCTAACAAGCCAACTATAACAACTTCAGCGTGATTTTTAAAACCTTTCCTACTAACTTTATATTGCTTGAAAAAACCCCTTCACCATTGTTCTATACCCTGCCCCTCCCTCCCTCCCTGAGGTGTTGATATCTGCTGATGGTAATTGCGAGTTTCTTCCTTTATTTAGGTCAAGTCCTTCAAAGCCAGGAACAAAAAAGGGAGAGAAGAGATGACGAATTTTATGCAAAATAATTATTTACTTGTACAGAACAACTGTACGTGCATGTATATATCACAAGATTCGTTGCAGTTGCTAATAAATGGTATTTGAATTTATACTTGAAAACTAGGATCTATCTTTTGTGTTTTGTCGAATGCCTATGCGTTTTAGTATTTCTATTCATATTTTCTTTGAAAAATAACACCTTGCAAAACAAATTCCATTTGGAGGACAAGAAGGAGCTCCCACCACATAACACCTAGCACAGGGTGAAGCGGAGAAGTGCTTTTAGAATCGTACTACAATTATAATTATGTTACTGTAAAATTATGTTTATGGCAGACCTTATAAACATTAATTGCTTGGAAAGTATTTTTTAGTTGCAAAATAAATATAAGATTTAAGGCATTTATAATGGTTATTACAAATAAAGAAGAGATTTCCAGTTGTCATTCTTCAAAGAATAAAGTATACAGTAAGTGTTTAGGACTTGTATCCTGCCTACAGACGTCTATGAAAACAGACAAACGGAGAGGATGACATTGGACAATTTTAAAAACTGATAACTAACCTATGGTCCTCTGAGTGTCCCTAACTAACTACACTCAAATCAATCAGATCAAATTGGAGTTTGAAAATGTCAGTTTTTTTAGGAGAGTTGAAAATTGAAGAAACCGATAAAAACCCTCACGCCGGAGACGCGACTGAGATCCAACATCAAACTCAACCCACCTACAGCATCGACGCTGCGACTCGAACCCAGGCCACATTGCTTAGAGGCGAGTGCTCTCACAGCTGCGCTATCCTTGCTCCTCATTCCCTTGTTTCACACGGGAAAGGCCGTGACGCCCACGAGGACCAAAGGAAGTTATGTGATGTCGACTTGCAAAAAGAGAAAGACGTCTGAGTACAGTAGTTATTCATGGAGTTGATCTTTTTTTGTTTTTGTTTTTTGTTATGTTTTGTTTTTGTTTTTGTTTTTTCCACGAATGGCTCGAAAACTAAAAATGAATTACCCTGCAATTCAATATACTACATCTGCTCCGTTTCAGGACTATAAGTAAGGACTTTCCTCTCAATCAATCTCAGCTAATCTTGCTTGCCGTTGCCTTAGGATTTTGGCAGATATTGTCGTGCACACTATAGTCATATTACTCCTCAATTTTCGCTCTCACTAAGTTTGGACAACCCTGTCTTTTCCTGATCAATTTGATCTGTTCAGAACATTTTATCTTATAGCACTTTTAGGACCAAGGGGTCGTGAGGTGATAGACATTTGTAAGATCGTTTGGTGTACTTTTTGGTAGCTAACTTAGCCCTCGCGAGAACGTGGCTCGTGATTTATTTCTTACCGTTTCGGCGACCTAACTATCCTAAAGACTGATTTGTGCCAAATTGCACGATTTTCTGTCTTGCTGAAAATCTTCCATTAGCCAAGTGTCAGCTCTAAGTGTTGTCCTTCTCAACAGCAGATTGCCTCAAGAGAAATTTCTCTTTCGGCTGCATTTATATCATAAGGAGGCATATGCTTATTGGAGATTGCAACGTTTAGTTAACCTTTGGTTGGTATTTCACTGCTTGTTCCTCACCGGTTGGGGAAAGGAGGTATTTTCGAGTCTCCAGCGAACTGACCAAGGTGTTCACTTTGCCGTGGCCAAATCAAAAGACCCCCATGATAAACTTCAGTGCCCGTAGGAAAGCTAACTAACCCACAATAATTGATTGCCTCACAAACCACACCCGGTTTATAAAAAGGACGGAATGGGTTAATGTCTAATTACTTCTCTCATAACACAAGCTTTAAAGAAAGTGAGGTACACACATAAAGGTGCAGGCGAGTTTTCTTAGAGTAGTATAGGAGGGATGAAATTATCCGGTTTTTTCGGTGGAATTTCATGAACTTGCGGGAAATCAAATTAATACCAATTACGTGGTGGTGGTGGTGGTGATGTTGGAGGGAAAATAAAAAATGTAAGGAGAGCAATAACTAAGTTGTGGAGGAGAGGAAAGGGGAGTAGGGTAAGTAGAAAAATTGCGTTTAGTGCAAGAAAGAGCAACTTTGCCTTCAAACTCATAAGTATACACGATTTGCCAGTTAAGAATAAGTGAACCAAAACCTAGGACAACTTGTTGTCTGCAATGCACAATGAATTATAGCAGAATTGTATGGAATTTACATAATCACGTAAAGGCCCAGTTATTTTAAGTCACAAGCTAGGTAGCGCTTATCCCTTCGTCAACATGAATAAGTGAACCAAAACCTAAGACAACTTGTTGTCTACAATGGACAATGAATTCTAGCAGAATGGTATAGAATTTACATAAATACGTAAAGGCTCAGTGATTTTAAGTAACAAGCTAGGTAGCGCTTATTCCTTCGTCAACATGAATCAAGCAATTTATACTTTTCAGAGTTAGTTTTAGTGTTTAGTCAACCAATTAATCAACCTAAAATTTCTATAAAACCTCTCAACTATTTAAGCCACTTTTTTTAATGAGATTCCTGCGCATTTTACTTATGCGATAAAAAGAAAAAGCTGTGGTGTCATCAGCGGTTTGTATTCCCGCGCAAAAAAACGGATAATTCCACACCTGCCGGCTCTACCGCTTCTGAGTGAGTGACTTTGTTAAAGGTACTTTGCACCGTGAACGATTGCTCTCGGACTTATCAGTACTGCCTCCACTTGTCACAAACAGCTTAGGCGTCCAGAATTGTTTGCTAGTATACCACTTTAAATTGAACTCCGCATTTTAACGCGAGAGTAGTTGGTTTTAGGAGTTAAGACCTTTGTGATTTAGAAGTAGGATAGGGCCCGCCAGTAATGAATTGAGACAGGATAATGATCTGAGGATCTCTTCGGGGTCATAGTTTAGTTGTCAATCTCTCCACACACAACTTCACTTGGTTTTAAAAAAGGCAATCGAGACCGTACATGCACCGACCGTGTTCGCTTTAGTAATAGTTAAAGGCTATGAACCAATTTAGCTGTTGGCTTCATGTTCAGCTTTTATTACGTTATTTTGCTCTTATACAGTAGCAGAAAACAAAACTGAAAAGATTATCGGCATAAATGATTTTACAGAATATTTTTTTAAACCCCTTTTTTTTTCGCACAGAGGTTTATTTCTCCAAGAAGTCATTATTTCTAGATAACACAACGTGTAAAATTCGTATCGTAATTGGATATATTATAAACCTTGGGTAAATAAAAACGTTTATACATAGAAGGGGTTTTACAAGAAGGGTGTAATGTAAAAACTCGATTTACCTGACTTTTCTATGACGAAGTGCTCGAGCGGCATTCTTCCCCCAAATGACTGACAATTTGTGAAAAAAAATCTGTAACGAAACCTTGGCAGAGCGAGATATTTTGACCTTCCTAAGATCAAGGTTGAATTTATCTAGGCTAAGCACTGAGGGTTTGCCTTTTGATCGTAATGTAGTGTTATTTAAAGGTATTCGTCAAAAAATTTTCATCCGTTGATTTCCTTCAACAGCGAGGAATTCCGAGGACATTAAATGTCTTGAATATAACACTTTCACATATTGTCAGCACATGAGATAATTATTACTTTCCTAGATAAATCTATTCATTTTTTTTGACAGTCTGTCTGCTTCTGAAGGTCTTCACAACAACGCGATACTCCGCCAAGGCGATCGACAAGAAACCGGCACATCATCTGCGCAACTCACGAAAACTTATTACGGATGGTCATTACCCAATATAATAGGTTGAACACAATGAAAGAAACAGGAAACCCAATGCGACTCCAATTATCAATTGCAGACTCCATAGCTTCGATCTCTTTCTCTGAATAAGGGCGGTATTGGACAAGCTCTCTTTCCACTGGTCTCCTACCATAGAAACCAAACTTTATTCGCCGTCTTATTTTCGCGTGTCCGTTCGCCTCCACGTTTCCTTTCATGTCTTCAACCAGGTCTTTCCTTTCGGAATCCTATGAAATTAATGCCGAATATATTTAAATACTGCGTTTACCGCTCGTTCCATTTTAACCTCCTCCGCAGACTTCACTGTCCCGTTTTAGAGAACGAATTGGAGAATGGGGAGAGAAAGGGGATCCTCATCACCATCAGTGTTAACGTTACAATAGGAAATGCCTGTGGAGGAGGCTAATTTGTTTGTTTGTTTTTTACTCTTGCTTTTACGATGATTAATTACAATTTTCTAACACACCAGTTCGACCAGTTTTTCCCTCTACAATATCACTTAGACATCTAGAAGGAGCTTAGGAGATAGGATCGCAAATACCGGCAAGTCAAATTTTAACAAATATATGTTATATATGTTCGAAAGTTACTAAACTATTTTAAAAGTTGTATTATTAAGGTTAGGACTCAAAATAGAGTGTTTCATCCGTTGTCCTAATGTTAGTCGTCAAAGCTTGGTTACGCTTGACCCTTTCCTGGGGTCTGGATATCGGATAGAAACACGTCATCTCTGTTTAGTTGGCATGTATTTGATACTACACAAAGAAAAATGTAGTCTATTAAATCTGTTGTAGCCTTTACCTTTCCATCGTCCGACTCTGGTTGTAGCGGAGGAATCTCCATACCTCTTTTTAGCCTTCTGTTAACCTCAAACGAGACACAAGCGTACTCAACCAGCGAGGCAAACACGTACATGAAGCAAATGATAAGAAACCATTCAATAGACTTCACATAGGACACTTTAGGAAGTGACTCCCGTGCACTATTGGTCAGCGTTGTCATGGTGAGGACTGTGGTAATCCCTAGAGCTATTCGCGCTGCAAAGAAGAAAACAAATCCCCGAGCGGGTGTTAAATTACTCAAATCGTAGTTTGTTAGTCTTTCCAGACAAGATCAAGTGTTTCAATGCGTTATTATTACATTACTGAAAGACTCCCTCTGAGAAAGGGCTCGTTGGTTGTTTGTAGAGTTTCGCCAGTCAATCAGTGGATGTCCACACCCCGAGCACGTATACTCGCCTGAGCCCAAAAAAATTCCCGCAGAATGGCCGCAGAATAGAGCACGTAGGTAGGCTTAGTATCAGGTCTTCCTTAGGGGTCGGTGGAGAGGAGATCGTTATAAGGACGAAGGTGAGTGTGGAAGAGAGAACGAAGAAGTTTCGCCCTTCTCACTCTTTTCCCTTTTTTTCCCCAGGATCGCCTGATGATACTCCTCTCTTACAAGGCTAGCGCGTAGGAGATTTCGTACGACTATAGCTACCTCGAGCTTGATTGCAAAATGTTCTGTAATTGTTTATGGAATCCTAAAAAATTGCTATTGATTAATGAAAGGGACAACAGCCCTTTTAGTTATTTTATAATTGGTTAATTTATGACCAACCTGGCGTGGAGTTGTGATTAATCCAAAATGCAATCCAGCTCAGCATCACAATTAGATAGGCAGGAATGTAGGTTTGAATAAGAAAAAAACCGATGCTTCGCTCAAATTGGAACCACACTATTAATCTCGAATAAGAACCTGTAGGCAAGTTGAATAAATATCTTATTTGTTTCCTTCATCATGATCAGGCCTATGCATAAATTCGTCTCAAGCTAGTACCTCTAACTCTGGAGAAAAGTTTTACCGTGAAAGAGGGTCAGACTCCAAGCCGAGTCTAGAGCGTTTATCTGAGAAAAAGTTGAAACCGTTGCCCGAGCCAAGAGCGCTGGTGCATGCTACATGCTTGTCCCAGCTGGGCGAGCTATTTTTTTTTTTTTTCGAGAAATTTGGTCCAGCTGGGAGGGTTACTCTACTGTGGAGGGTGGGGGAGAAGGGTTTGTCACCCTTCTAGCAGAGCCAAGTTTTTGTATGTCGTGTAATCGACTTGCCATGTTTTGTAAAGAAATGTATGAAAGGGTGGCTAGCCCGGGGTAGCCAGCGTAGAGTCGAGTCACCCTGCTTCTACCTGGAACTTGCGAAAACTCCTTAACTTTCAATTTTACGATGAGAAATTTTGTAAGCCGTTCTCTTTAAACGGCTCTTTCTTTTCTGTATGGGGAGGACTGAGACAGGCCTGGGAAACGATGTCAGGACGCAATCAAACAAATTGAGGGAGACAGTGGGAATAATCACCAAAAAGTTGGAAACTAAGCGAATTCACTTTTAATTAACAGTTTCAGTATTTTGAATAAACTCCCATTTAATGACCGGCCATATTAACTTAATTTGCTTCACCAATTCTCCCTTCGTATCCACAAAAATGGAACGGGCCATTAAACGTACCTGATGTAAAGTTTTCAAACGTTGCCTCAGTCCAATGATTAGTGAGGATGAACTGGGGAATCTGCAATTCGTCTGAAATAATCACCTCTTTGTTTCCTTCTTCTTTCTTCCATCGAAAGAGCAGCTCCGTAGCTTCGTAACTGACTTAAAATAAACAATTATGAAAAGTGGTTAGGCCTCTCGTTTATACGAAAAAAATTGTCCCGGGGTAGAAGAATACCCCGCCTACCCAAGCTACCCGCGGGCGAGCCAACTTTTCATACATTTCTTTACAAAAAGTAGCGAACTTCTTAACTGAGAAACAAAAAGTTTGCTTGGCTAGAAGGGTGAGCTTTCTAGCCGGGTCATCATTTTGTGATGGTAGGGGGGATTTTCTCCATAAAAACACTTGACTCGCCCAGCCCAGTCAATCTTGGGGTCAAAGCGAGACAACCAGACCTTAGTTTTATTAGCTGTGTTCGTCTTTTACAGAATGAATGAACGCCGATTTTCATTCAACTTTTCTCGTTTTTCATGTTCTCACCTACAGCTTTACTCCACCTAGTTAACAAACCACACAAACCAGAATCCTCCAAACGTCCTGTGCTACCAAAGAATATGCTTTAGACATCGTAAAAATAGTGAAACAGTTTGACTTACAGCTTTCAAACGCCAGCCTACAAACTTGTTTGTCCAGTGGATAGTTATGCAGAAGCATAGGACATGAAGCAGTCATTGACAATCTGAAATGAAAGCCTAAAGTATTCAATAAAGACTCTGATACATATAAGCTTAATAGGAAAAGTGGAATTTTGTCTACGTCTACTTGTAAATGAATGCACCCGCACGTCGTCCACTCCCAAAATAATTTTTCCCTTACTCTACACATTGGAAAACAGCCTTGTTCAACTAAAAGCACCTCTACTACTAACAGCACCACTACCTACACAACTTCCTGAATACTACTGCCCCTACCACTGCCACTATTACCATAACTACCACAACCACCATGCACCACCACTTCCGGTCTACCATCGCCGCTACCAGGTACTAGGCTGATTTAGCAACAAAACGGGAACGTCACTTGACCACGGCGCGCGCAAATCAAACAAATGGCTTGACCAATAGCAGAGTGGCAAATTGAGCACCGGAAGTCGTGTGTAGTCCTTTCCGCGCGCTTTCCCGTCGTCAACTGACGTTCCCGTTCTGTTTCTAAATCAGCCTACTACGACCACTGCTACCACTACCACTACCACCACCGCTACCACTACCACCACCACTACCACTATCACGACTGACTCTAGCTCCAGCGAGGAAATTTTTTTGTCTTCCTTCCCCACTGCTATAAACCCAGTCGCCTGCCCCCTCGGCAGATTTGAAACCAAGACTGCTGCCCGTAATGATAAGCGCTCGATCTCCACTATCTTAGGAAAAATAGAGGATTGTGAACAGTGTGCCATTCCCAATACCACTTGTTTATTGCCAATACCTCAGTATGTAATAAGTCTTTTCAACAAGCTGTCATCATTTACGGCAAAAAGACTAAGCCCTGTGACTTACCTCATGCTGTGAAAGACACGTCCATCAGGCCACAGTCTAACCATTTCATTTTCCTTGGTAAGATCGTGTTTGATCCCAGACTTTTCGTTGACGAAGTAAATGTCGGGTATCCACATATGCTGGACCATTTTAGCATTCAGAGCAAGTCTCTTTTTATATCCCGTGTTATTGTAGGCAAGACGCTCATCCTTCCAGTACATGCGTAGGAAAAAACTTGCTCGAAACTCCTTTTAAAGCAAAAACATTAGAAATAAAGAAAACATGAACCCCAAATAAGGAACAAAAGAGGAAGGGCACGCTAACTTCCACACGAGGAATGGGTCATGTTTTTAAAATATCTGAAGCTGAATCAGAGTTAGCTTGAGTCTCATAAACTACTTGTTTGTTTACGCTCCTGTCAGCTTTCCTTAGACTTAGAACTAAAGCACTCTCAGCTTTAAGATGAAGATAAAGTTTTATTCAATGACTTCTCTTAGGGCCTCCTCCTTTAAAAGCAAAATTTCCCAAGTAGAGTTACCTTATAACCCGGGTCAACTTTTTTAAGCTTGACTGACGATAAGACTAAAACACACATTCTTTGTAACATTCAAGATTTGAACGAAATCTTCAAGATCTCCATGTTCAACACGCTAAATTCACGAAAAAAGGACACTCAAAAGATATTATCATCGTATAAAGAAAATACCTAATGTTGTTCATATGTTTAAAAAAGAATTCCTGATTACTGGTCACTCTTCACGGTCAAAGTTGTCCCGCGTAGGCGAGCTATCCGATTCCTCGCAGAGTGTTTACAAGCCAGGTAAGGCCTGGGTCGCACTAGAGCGAATGTTGTTTATCTAAGCACCTGATCTGTCAACGCATGATGAAAAATAAGTGCGACCCCACATTGAAAATTCTATCCAATTTTTTGCCAATTGTCAAAATTCCGCCAAATTTTCAAAGAAGCCGAACTGCTGCCTCGAAGGCTACCAAATTTTGGCAAAGTTGACAATTTTGTTTATTTAACCATTAAGCTGTCATTTACCCCAGTCGTGTAATTGAAAATTGCCACGGCAAATGACATTTTCTACATCCTCGGTCCTCTGTCCTGCTAACAATTATTTTGATGTGCCACGAACTTTGCATCCTGTCGTGCGATAAATTAAAACCGACTTGAGGCCCGCTTACAAGGAGGGAGGGTTACCTTAGCACTCGCACATTGGAAGATATGCCACGTGTTTACAAGACTGACGGGGTTACCTTGGCGATAGGGTTACCCTACCTGAGTGCTAGGGTTAAGCCCGGGTCGCACTAGAGCGAAGTTTTTTTAACTTCTAAATTTTTGGTGATAAAATTTTTTGAGAAAAAAAAAGGTTCCAAATTTTAACACGGGTTGCATAATACGAAATTTGCATTTTCCAAAACTCGAATGACTGACCTATATATCATTCCAAGTACAGTTCTTGCATTGCATACTTCAAAGAAAGCATCACGTAAGAATAACTGTCCGCCACTGATATAATTATTTTCTTCGGTCTTTTCTTAACTGAATTTCCTTTTTTTCGCAACAAAATGCCATAGCGGTTCTGGTAATAGTTATGGATACTATCAATACCTATATACGCCTTTATGTAGTTGGCTGCAGCTTTCAGAACATGCAGAACGCTTGAATCGACGTCGATTATGGAACCACCGTCCATGGTCTTCGACTCTTATGCCACGACTCATTGATGCAATCCTCTAATAAAATAAACTTACCATTCTAGCTTCGCTGATGTAGCCAAGGTCTAAGAAAAACATGTCCGTTGATACTGTCACAGGTTCCCCTTTTAACAGATAATAACGAAAGAAAAATACACTGTTATTACACATTGTAATAATATGAAGTCAAATTACATCAAAAAGTCTCAAATTTGCTTCAATTTAATTCTTCATGGAATTCTTCACACTAAAAGCCATCCTAACTTCATTAATCTCATGCCATGAAGCATAAAGCCGATCAGCTGGCAGGGAATTTGACAGGGATTTGCAAAAGAATTTTATTCTGTGGCAAAAAAAGACTTTCGCCATCGTCAAACTGAATTAACGGAAACGAAATGCAAGTACCCACGATAGTAAAGTCCCCTTATTGTTCTGGGAAAACTTAGGAAAACTTTCGTAATCGTTTTTGGAAACGTTTGCANTATATACGCCTTTATGTAGTTGGCTGCAGCTTTCAGAACATGCAGAACGCTTGAATCGACGTCGATTATGGAACCACCGTCCATGGTCTTCGACTCTTATGCCACGACTCATTGATGCAATCCTCTAATAAAATAAACTTACCATTCTAGCTTCGCTGATGTAGCCAAGGTCTAAGAAAAACATGTCCGTTGATACTGTCACAGGTTCCCCTTTTAACAGATAATAACGAAAGAAAAATACACTGTTATTACACATTGTAATAATATGAAGTCAAATTACATCAAAAAGTCTCAAATTTGCTTCAATTTAATTCTTCATGGAATTCTTCACACTAAAAGCCATCCTAACTTCATTAATCTCATGCCATGAAGCATAAAGCCGATCAGCTGGCAGGGAATTTGACAGGCATTTGCAAAAGAATTTTATTCTGTGGCAAAAAAAGACTTACGCCATCGTCAAACTGAATTAACGGAAACGAAATGCAAGTACCCACGATAGTAAAGTCCCCTTATTGTTCTGGGAAAACTTAAGAAAACTTTCGTAATCGTTTTTGGAAACGTTTGCAGTTGCCAAAAAAAATATGAGGGGATTTACTTTGGACAGCTACTGTGGATCCATTTGATAAATTATAAATGAAAATAGTAAACTATTATTTTTTTTTACATTGTTTGGTACCATGGTAAAATACTTACTCTCGCCCCACTCCCTGATACTCTTTGCCTAGTCCCTAGGCCCCATTATTGCACGTGGCCGATGCGTGATCGAGAAGGCCTGGGGAGATGCCGTACAAGGACTAGGCGAGATATCACTTACGTCAGTTTTGTATTTAAATTATCAGTATTATTCTATTCCTTTATACCAACCAGTTAAGGCTTTTTTTCTCGATTATATTATTCTGTGCATCAAAAGCCGCCCATGGAAACAAAAGTCTGATTACTGATAAATTGGCAAAATATCGACAGCAGGGGCAGGAAACTATGAGGAATATAAACATTTAGAACTGCTAAGTACGTACGGCCTATTCTGGGTCTTAATCTATTGTCAGACTTGTTCTGGATTTGATTTAATATCATAGGTAGTATTTGTTCTGCGTCGTTGCCATTCCCTCCGCTTTCGAGCAGCGATGACCTGCAAGGAAAAGAAAACGATAAACTTAAACATCTGCTCAGACATAGTTAGTAGAGGAAACTGGTTAGGAAAGCCGGCAAACATCAAAGTTGAAAACAACGGTGCTATAGTTTATGTTGGAAGCTCTCTGACCGTGCACAATCCTTTGTTTTTTGTTCACAAATTGTGACTGAATAAATTAATGCGATGCTTCTATTGGTCAGTAAGTTCAAAATGATATGAATGCTATTGAACTTTGTGCACGGTCAGGTCCAAAAAAGCTAACAAAAACATACAACAGTCTAACGGGTTTCCGAACCATTCCACTTTAATAACCATGGCTCAGAGCGCACCATAATGACGTAATGGCACCGTATGGCATATGCTATCAAAAGCATTATTTATCTATAATTTCCGACTGAAAAACGCTTAGCCTAAACATTTCATGATAGCTCCATTGCAATTAGAATTTGTTCTCAATATTATCTCTCATCATCATCATCATCAGATGTGGCGTCGAGAGAGAGAACCTAAGGATATCCAATGATAATATTATATATTACAAGAGTTTAAAATAAGTAAAATTAAAGGGCGGTCAGTTTATTCCCTTGAAGTAAAAACTGGGGGAAAAGGGCGCAAAGTTGACATTTTCGCGATCGATAGCAAATTAATACTCAGGGGCACCCAACGCCAATTTTCCGAAAATATCTGTTCGGAAGACGATTTGAGATCTAGAATTTTCGTAACATTTGTTGTAAAATTTCTTGCTTGCCTGCCTCTCCTAGGATTTTCGAACATATAAAAAATGGCACAATTGCCCATTTTTAACGGATTTTTACCCTAAAAAGGTCACCTAGAATTTTTCGGGAGCCTTTTTTTTGGCTGAAATTCTCGAAACGGTAAGTTTTGATCCCTATAATTTTCGGATCACTAGACATTCAGCTAGGAAATCCGAACAGATGAAAAATTTTTAGGAGATAAAAATATGCCTATCTCTTCCGTTAAAATACTAAAATACGTTCATCAATGCTATGTTTAAGTGGTTTTGAACTATATTCTCGTTGTGTGCCTCTGAATACTGAATACAGCCGTATTAACGTAATGATTTAAGGCTAGGAAAAATATCTCCTTCACTCAGTATAAACATTTTTTTTTTGAATGTCAGTAACATCTAGCTATGTCACAAGAATAATTGCTGTTTTAGGCCAATTTCATTTCCTCATCGGTTCGTTGTTGACCCAGTATTATATTGATGAACTGTTGACACTACCTCCGCGCCGGCTTCGGTGGATTATTGGGCGGTAATTTTAAAATCCTTATCTCCAGCTGACTGTGTCTTAAGAATAAACGGAAAGAAAGTAATGTGAAATTGTTTTTGCTTTCGTTTATAAAGGGCTGCTTGCATTCTTCAGCGATGCGGGGAGATATTTTAAAAAGTCCTAAATGCATTGTTTCATTTTAGACGCCTTTAACGTTCGCGTTGTTCTCTGTTATAAAATATTACAAGCTATGGTGAAGTTAGAGAGAATAACTTATTCACTCCGCATACCGTTTATACACTGTGAAAGTAAATAACATGTGATAACAATAGTTATGATTATAAAGATTACTATCGACCAAAAACTGTACGGTAAACAATCGTAAATTAAAATTCGGTTCTCAAAATATAGGGGTTTGTTAATGTCTCACAGGTCAATTATTTTTCTCTGCCTTCGGCATCAGCAAATAATTGAATTATTCACCAATGACAAATCACCATATTTTACTTAACTTCGTTCAACAATTATTTGTTGTTCGACAGTAATAATTTACCTGGGGCTTTCACCAGTGGGTGTGGTGTCGTTCGAAGACGTCGCATTATAACTTTCATCTCTTGACGCTGAAGAGTTGACAGCAATTAAACACACGACCGAAAAGAAAACTCCTTGAAATAATATCCCATCCATTTAATGTTTAGTACATCGAAATAGGTTTCTGGTGGAGAGAAAACATTTCACACATTAAATACTTTTAAAATAGTTTTTTTTTGCCATTACGGACTGACTATACACAGAGATATTCACCCAGAAGAGAACCGGAGATGGAGGCTCCATTTGATGGGCTCCTGCTCAGAGTGTATTTTGCATGTGAGGCAAAAGAAAAAAAAACTAACATCCAATGTAATAAAAAACTTAAAGCTGTTATTTTATATTTCTGACCTGATCGCGATCCCCGTGATGACTTCTTAGTCAAAACTCTATGTTCTCCTCTTAATGTATATTTTCATTATTTATTATTTTTTTCTAGATCTTTTACCGGCTTGTATACCTGTGAAAACATTGGACAGGATAAAATTTGTTTATAGCGATCAAATTACTTGAGTGGCTTTTTGTTGTGGATTACTTTTCACACACGTGCTGTGTCTCCATAAACAAAACGTTTTACCCTCAATTCTGTCTTGGCCATGCATAAATATAAATATAAAGTATAAATAACTTAAAAGGATAAATATTTTGGATCACGCCTGTCAGAAAAGAGTGGAAACTATTAAAATCTTCTTTCAAGGCTTACGCTATACCCGGAATCTAGAAACCCAAAGTATACATTCATTTGATGAATACGTTTGTAATGGGTGTGGTTTTCTTGTTTTGCTTCCTGAAACTTATACCGCCATTAAATATAAAATAAATAGGAGCTGTAATATCCAAAATTTGCCCAGAATTATTGAATAGTGTATAAGCCGAAATTAAGTTACCTCTACTTGCCATCTGTGGTATTTGTGCATGTCTTTTTAAGCCAACATTGGATGGACAAAATGGGATCGAATTTTTTTGCTTTTTAAAGTTTAAAATTTCAAATGGTATTTTTACTGGTAGAAATAGTGCTTATAGATTTCCTTCTTCTCTTTTTTGTAATAGAATGGCTTTTATTTTTTTTGGTGGGGGGAAGGTTGATTTGTGCATGTCTCCCTAGTGACTTGAAAGCATTCATAAATTTAGTAATGTTTCTTTTGGTCCTATGAATTTTTCAAATAATCAAACATAAAGGTTAAATGTTTTGTTGGAAGCTACCGTAGGCTTTGTAATTGCTCTTTGCAAGAATTTTCAAAAATGCAATTTAAAAATAGGTTTTTCCAGTAGTTTTGAAGTTGACAAGAAAAACTCTTTAAAGAATACTCACTAAGCATTCGACAAAAAAAAAAACAAAATGTAAACCTCAAACTGCACTGACAGTTAGGCGAAATGTTCACTATCGTAAGGGACGTCTTGTCAAGAAGTCAGCTAAGAATTCTATCCAAGCTTTAGTTTTTAAAATTTATAGCGTTAGCTGAAAATTTAACGTGAGATCAGGAAATTAACTAGCCTTGTCAAATTCGCAGTATATTCAGACTAAGAAGGTTATCTTCAGTTTCTAATTCATTAACTAAACTAACAAGAGAAAGCGGAAGCAGTGTCAAAAGTTTCTTTCACCTTATTGCTTGAGACAATGTAGTGAGGTTTATTCGCTCTAGTCGTCTGGACGTTCGACATCTTTAACTACAGAACACAACGAAAAAGTCGCAAAAAAGCTCAAACAGACTGCCCTTATGCCGTTTTCACATTTCTGCAAGGGATCTTCGATATCCTTGGTCTTTTTAAACAATCCAAATATTCATTTTGAGCATTATTTATCTATAATTTCCGACTGAAAAACGCTTAGCCTAAACATTTCATGATAGCTCCATTGCAATTAGAATTTGTTCTCAATATTATCTCTCATCATCATCATCATCAGATGTGGCGTCGAGAGAGAGAACCTAAGGATATCCAAGGATAACATTATATATTACAAGAGTTTAAAATAAGTAAAATTAAAGGGCGGTCAGTTTATTCCCTTGAAATAAAAACTGGGGGAAAAGAGCGCAAAATTTACATTTTTGCGATCGATAGCAAATCAATACTCAGGGGCACCCAACGCCAATTTTCTGAAAATATCTGTTCGGAAGACGATTTGAGATCTCGAATTTTCGGAACATTTGTTGTAAAATTTCTTGCTTGCCTGCCTCTCCTAGGATTTTCGAACATATAAAAAATGGCACAATTGCCCATTTTTAACGGATTTTTACCCTAAAAAGGTCACCTAGAATTTTTCGGGAGCCTTTTTTTTTGGCTGAAATTCTCGAAACGGTAAGTTTTGATCCCTATAATTTTCGGATCACTAGACTTTCATCTAGGAAATCCGAACAGATGAAAAATTTTTAGGAGATAAAAATATGCCTATCTCTTCCGTTAAAATACTAAAATACGTTCATCAATGCTATGTTTAAGTGGTTTTGAACTATATTCTCGTTGTGTGCCTCTGAATACTGAATACAGCCGTATTAACGTAATGATTTAAGGCTAGGAAACATCCCTCCTTCACTCAGTATAAACATTTTTTTTTTAATGTCAGTAACATCTAGCTATGTCACAAGAATAATTGCTGTTTTAGGCCAATTTCATTTCCTCATCGGTTCGTTGTTGACCCAGTATTATATTGATGAACTGTTGACACTACCTCCGCGCCGGCTTCGGTGGATTATTGGGCGGTAATTTTAAAATCCTTATCTCCAGCTGACTGTGTCTTAAGAATAAACGGAAAGAAAGTAATGTGAAATTGTTTTTGCTTTCGTTTATAAAGGGCTGCTTGCATTCTTCAGCGATGCGGGGAGATATTTTAAAAAGTCCTAAATGCATTGTTTCATTTTAGACGCCTTTAACGTTCGCGTTGTTCTCTGTTATAAAATATTACAAGCTATGGTGAAGTTAGAGAGAATAACTTATTCACTCCGCATACCGTTTATACACTGTGAAAGTAAATAACATGTGATAACAATAGTTATGATTATAAAGATTACTATCGACCAAAAACTGTACGGTAAACAATCGTAAATTAAAATTCGGTTCTCAAAATATAGGGGTTTGTTAATGTCTCACAGGTCAATTATTTTTCTCTGCCTTCGGCATCAGCAAATAATTGAATTATTCACCAATGACAAATCACCATATTTTACTTAACTTCGTTCAACAATTATTTGTTGTTCGACAGTAATAATTTACCTGGGGCTTTCACCAGTGGGTGTGGTGTCGTTCGAAGACGTCGCATTATAACTTTCATCTCTTGACGCTGAAGAGTTGACAGCAATTAAACACACGACCGAAAAGAAAACTCCTTGAAATAATATCCCATCCATTTAATGTTTAGTACATCGAAATAGGTTTCTGGTGGAGAGAAAACATTTCACACATTAAATACTTTTAAAATAGTTTTTTTTTGCCATTACGGACTGACTATACACAGAGATATTCACCCAGAAGAGAACCGGAGATGGAGGCTCCATTTGATGGGCTCCTGCTCAGAGTGTATTTTGCATGTGAGGCAAAAGAAAAAAAAACTAACATCCAATGTAATAAAAAACTTAAAGCTGTTATTTTATATTTCTGACCTGATCGCGATCCCCGTGATGACTTCTTAGTCAAAACTCTATGTTCTCCTCTTAATGTATATTTTCATTATTTATTATTTTTTTCTAGATCTTTTACCGGCTTGTATACCTGTGAAAACATTGGACAGGATAAAATTTGTTTATAGCGATCAAATTACTTGAGTGGCTTTTTGTTGTGGATTACTTTTCACACACGTGCTGTGTCTCCATAAACAAAACGTTTTACCCTCAATTCTGTCTTGGCCATGCATAAATATAAATATAAAGTATAAATAACTTAAAAGGATAAATATTTTGGATCACGCCTGTCAGAAAAGAGTGGAAACTATTAAAATCTTCTTTCAAGGCTTACGCTATACCCGGAATCTAGAAACCCAAAGTATACATTCATTTGATGAATACGTTTGTAATGGGTGTGGTTTTCTTGTTTTGCTTCCTGAAACTTATACCGCCATTAAATATAAAATAAATAGGAGCTGTAATATCCAAAATTTGCCCAGAATTATTGAATAGTGTATAAGCCGAAATTAAGTTACCTCTACTTGCCATCTGTGGTATTTGTGCATGTCTTTTTAAGCCAACATTGGATGGACAAAATGGGATCGAATTTTTTTGCTTTTTAAAGTTTAAAATTTCAAATGGTATTTTTACTGGTAGAAATAGTGCTTATAGATTTCCTTCTTCTCTTTTTTGTAATAGAATGGCTTTTATTTTTTTTGGTGGGGGGAAGGTTGATTTGTGCATGTCTCCCTAGTGACTTGAAAGCATTCATAAATTTAGTAATGTTTCTTTTGGTCCTATGAATTTTTCAAATAATCAAACATAAAGGTTAAATGTTTTGTTGGAAGCTACCGTAGGCTTTGTAATTGCTCTTTGCAAGAATTTTCAAAAATGCAATTTAAAAATAGGTTTTTCCAGTAGTTTTGAAGTTGACAAGAAAAACTCTTTAAAGAATACTCACTAAGCATTCGACAAAAAAAAAAACAAAATGTAAACCTCAAACTGCACTGACAGTTAGGCGAAATGTTCACTATCGTAAGGGACGTCTTGTCAAGAAGTCAGCTAAGAATTCTATCCAAGCTTTAGTTTTTAAAATTTATAGCGTTAGCTGAAAATTTAACGTGAGATCAGGAAATTAACTAGCCTTGTCAAATTCGCAGTATATTCAGACTAAGAAGGTTATCTTCAGTTTCTAATTCATTAACTAAACTAACAAGAGAAAGCGGAAGCAGTGTCAAAAGTTTCTTTCACCTTATTGCTTGAGACAATGTAGTGAGGTTTATTCGCTCTAGTCGTCTGGACGTTCGACATCTTTAACTACAGAACACAACGAAAAAGTCGCAAAAAAGCTCAAACAGACTGCCCTTATGCCGTTTTCACATTTCTGCAAGGGATCTTCGATATCCTTGGTCTTTTTAAACAATCCAAATATTCATTTTGCTATTCTCACAAATAGCCTTACCAAAAATAAGTGATAAACATAAAGCTGAATTTGTTATCTTCGCTTATCAATTCCTAGCAAGTCGATTAGTACAGGTATGATGACCATATCCACCGGCTGTTTTTATTAAGTGATATAATGCCGGTTAGTGTAGTAGCTGCTTTTTTAGTGCTCATTGGTCATCGCTGAACCTTGTTAAAGATACCAGTTCAGTATGGATTGTATGCCCTGTGTTTGTTAATGTTTTTGTGCGGCCTTTTTGAGATCACTCAGGCTAGCGTTTTAGTAAAACTGTTTAGATATAGTGTTTACAACGGGTGAATTCAGTCGTCTAGTATTTATTTATGTCTCATAGAAGTGAAACAAAACTTCGCAGACTAATAGATGTACCCCAATCCTGATATTTGATTTAGTTTAATTTATAAATGTGACGTCGATAGACATCTGATTTCAACACCACAAGACAAAAGTGATGTTCTGGGCATTATTTATTTATAATTGAAATGTGGATGGGAAAATAACTTAGTGAAAGGACCTCGATAACTTGAGATCACCAAAGGTTGTTACAAAAATTTTACACATTATAAAGACCCTCAGCGAAAGTTAACTTTGGACTGTAAATTACCATCACGTAGAAGTCATTTAACGTTTTCTAACTATTAAAGCTGGATAGCTTTATTTGAAAATATATTTTTTTGTTTAAATGATGAAGCAGACCGATTTATATTTCGCCGAAATTTTGTAATTTTTTCTGCTCTTCTATAAGCAAAGCCAGGATTCCAGCCACATTTCGCTGTCTTTTTTCGATTTTCAACAGAGCTCTCTAACCAACTAACAAGTTGGTGAATATCATGTGTCTTTCTAGAAGATAACCATCGATTTTTCCGGCGCAGAGTGATAAATATGACATAAAATTCCGAAAGGTAAAGAAAATAGCAGTAAAAACAATTCATAGTAAGAGTTGCAAAAAATCTACGATTTTAAAGTGCAAGGACATACTCACCTTTCTTGAGGTCAAAAGATGCCCACCTATTCATTGTTTTGAGTTGTTTACGAGTGCATTACAGTAAGTATATGATATATGGCCTTACATGTCATGTCACCGTCCTTGAAGCGTAGCGTTTGCGAGTACCAAAGCTTTCCTCGAATTCGTCCTCAGGTTCGATCATAAATAGATAATTTTGTGAACAAGTCACTAATTTAGCCAGTATTTTAGAATTTAAAGGAATATTTTTGCGTCGCCTCTTAAGTGATTGTTAAGTGAGATAAAATCTATTCTTGGAAGCTAGCGAATCAGTTCGCAGGATGTGGGATTCCAACATGGAAGATTAAGCGGTTTTAGAACACGGGTGTCCAATGTATGATACCATATTTGCAAAGAATTACTTAATACAAATAAGAAATAAGATAAGCCAGATTTACTTTTTTCTCAATATTTTACTCTACGAACGCAAAAGTCAAATGTGAGGTGAAACAAGAAACCAGTAACAAACTATATGTAAACTAAACAATCTACAAGATATGGAAGGATGACGACAAAAAGTAATTTTTGAATGGCTAAGACAACGTTATGGATAAAATGCTTCAAGAGACATTTAATATTTCAAAATGCAAATTTTTTGTCTGAGACTTATTACATTCTCTTTAGCTCACAGGACAACACAACATATTAAGATACGCTCTTTTCTTCTCGTTGTTTTATTATTTATGTTAGCACTTTTTTAATTATTATAATAAGAACTTTGAGGCTAAAATAGACCAAATAATTAAAAACACATACTGAAAGAAAGTACACAACTAATGAGGACGGCGGACAATTTGAAAATGCTAATTAAAACGAAATGTGTTCGTGCTCGGCTTTGCATGGATCCGGACTGAAAAACTGCAGAGCAGGACGAATTTCTGTCTACTCGATTTAACAAAATTTCATTGCGAACCTCCCATAGCCGACTCAATTTAGCGGGGTCTACAAATACATTGCTAGGACAAAAATAAATAAATAAACGGAACACGGTTCTTAAATAGACATCTTAAAGTAAAAAAAAAAAAAACTGCGATTCTGATCTAAAAAGCTAGTAAGTAATGGTCAGTCTCGTAATGTCATTGTCAGAGTTCATAATATAACGCTGATTTCTCCTTTTTGCCCTACAGCCTCTAAGACAGATCTTAGTGGTGCGAATGAAATTCTGGTTATGATCCAGAATTTGTTTCTCGATGGTAGTCAGCTCTGCTAATCGACTATGGAACCTCCTCAAGCATTTCTTTCCCATTCCGCCGTTGTGGTGAAGACTAATGGTGTAAATGCTCTATACATATGATCTGATAGTACTGTTGTGGCTTTAAGTCTCTAAACGATTCAGCATTTTTGTGACAGACCCTAACATCAAAGAGTACCGATCGCTTTTGCTCCAGGAACCCACTTGCATGGATATCTAATCTCGCATCTTGTGCTTTATCAGATCTTCCACGTACTATCTTGGAGGACTGGCTCAGTCTCAACATCACAGCATTCTATACTGTCTTCAGAGGTTCGATTTCCGAATCTCTTAATTTCTTGCGTGTCGTACAATTCAATGAGGGGTAATCGGGCGAGTCAGGTGATTTGAAATTACAAGCCCGATTGAGCAAAATCAAGCCAACAAATAGAGCCTGTCTATAAGAACTAATCAGATTCAAGCAGTTTGTTATTGACACAATTATGATAATAATTATATAATAATGATGATGATGATGATAATAATGATAATAATAATACGAAGAAGAAGAAGAATATGTAGTAATTATGAAGTGATGTCATAGACCCAGATGTCAAGTGTTGTAACATAGAGTGGGGACAGGACTAGCTATGCGTTTCCCTTATTTCATTTTTATTATTTAAATCTTAGGCTTCCATTAGTTTTAGTATTTTTTACATATTTTAATTATAATATATATTTAGATATATGATCGCTTTGGCCTACTTTTTCATTATGCAAACCTTAGGTTTGCATTAGCCTTAAGATTCTTTAGGATTTTTCTTAATTATTCCACAGTGAAGATTTAACTCGTTATCACCTTTTTGGTGAGTGAATTTCTGTAGAGCAGCATAGGCTACGCTTTGCACCCTATATGGTTGGTTTTCTAAGCATGCATTTTGTAAACTGCTATAATAATAATGATAATGGTAAAAATAAATTAAGCTCCTTTACAATAAATATCAAGTTTTCAGTAAACAATAGTATACCTTCAAGGACTTATGACTTGAACCCGGCAATGCACAGCTGTTAACCTGGAACAGGGTTGAAAAGTATTTCTGTCCAACATTTTTAATGTGTAAAAAGTTTAGCTCAACATTAGCTCACGAAATAGCTCACGATGTTAGACAGACGTGAGCGATAAGCTTAAGACTGTATTCTAACAAATTATGTTAAACGCCTGCTGAAACGGAACATCAGTTATTCAGTGAATAGCGGAGCTAGGGGTTCAAAAGGGAGAGATCAAAAAAACCTAAAAACGATTCTTCAAACCACCTCACCATAAAATTCTCCGCCAAAACCTGTTGAAAATTCAATTAACTATTGTTTCGTTCTAATCTTGAAGGCAATCTATCCATGCAGACCCACTCATTATGTTGTTCAACCCAGACCGAACTCCTCCTATATTCCTTATCCCATTACCTTGGTAGTCACTGCTTAATTACCTTTGCTTATAGTATTAATTCCATAACTCAATAACCTATCTATCTATATATACATATGTATACTTGAATTCTGGGTAGAACGTATTTCGTAGAGCGCTCAATTCATTTAATTGAAGAGTATTCTTGACTATTAATGATCACAGGAGTTCAGGCTTCAGGAGTAATCATCGATCGTTTATTGCGACAGTGCTTAACGCATCCCTATAACAACCACCCAAATTTTAGGCCAGCTTGTAATTTTAACGGTCAATCGTTGAAGTTGTCTGATGAGTGTGGTCTTACAATTTCGGACCATACGGAACAGCACTGTCGCAATAAACGATCGATGATTACTCCTGAAGCCTGAACTCCTGTGATTATTAATATACATATATATATATATAAACACTGCTCATTTCCCTGCCCTGAAAGAAAAGGAACACCACTGTTTTCCCAAAACAATTCAATGTAGTTCAGAAAACGAACAAAGCTAGGGAGTATTTGAATCGTGGGTGAATAATTTTTTTTTTCACATAATAACCGTTCTAAATTCCGTTTTGATATTTCATTGGGAAAATTGATTTTTCACAATAAATTAAAGCAAAGTACACGCAAAAAAAGGCCAAGCATTGCATGCGATGCTTGAAACAATGCTGTGTTTCTTAAATGCGGGAACAAAAATAGCACAAAACAAAACTTTGGTAAAAAAAAGGAAACTGATTTGTGGCCTGCATGGCTCAGTGTGCAGCGTCGCACGTTCGAAAGCTGGAAGAAAGTCCTTTGTTTTGTTCAAGGCCCCTAGCTACGGGAAAAGGTTCACATGGTTTAAGCAAGCGATGAACAGGCGTAACGTCAACACTGGAACGGCCTGCTTTGCCGCAGGATATTTCAAAGTTGCATGCGACTACTCGGATGCGGTTCTTCAATAACATCATAAGATCACAAGAAGGTGACCAGCAGGACTTGAAAAATCTTTAAGCAAACACTGAAATGCTCTTAAAAGAATATATCATGATTCATCGCCGATTTGACCATAGCGGATGCTAAGTCAGGGTTTTGTCCTTTTCTATTGCGACAGACTAATGCCAGTAAAGCAAAACAGACGTGAGCTGTGAACACCAAAAGAAATACTGGTAAACCGTAATAAAACCCTTTTTTTCTGTTTATGGTGATTATTTGTGATATATGTAGAGTAACAGTGACAATGTAATCTATTTTTAAGAAGGAAAGAAAACGACCCTTTCTCTTGAAAGTTTCTCTAACCGTTTATCCCTTAACTAAGTAATAGATAACTGTATGTGCTTGTTTTGATTTTAACAACGTCAGTGATTTAATTTGATTTCAATGTCTTTTTCGACCTTTGACGAATCTTAAAATGTGCAACAACGAAATTGACGAATTTGTCTAAATATCTACATATATCTTAAAAATATAAGTTTCAGAAGTTAAGACATTTCTCATACCTCAGAAGTGTACACTGCGTTTCTGGTTAATCTTCTTAAAAATAATAGCTCATTTTATATTGAATACCGACTGCTTTCAAGTTGACAGGTGAAGTCTGGAAGAACTTTCAGTGAACTGACTTTCGATTTCATAACTTGAAGGAAATTTCGCTGCATGACATTTGACATGTATTATATGATTTAGTCGTACAGTGAGTGATTTAAATAATATTATAATTGTTAGTTCATTTACGCGATATAAATTGCTTTTGTAGATGACTGGTTGGCCTCACTCACTGTTTGAAGGCGTACCCTGCAGTTTCAAATAAATCACAATTATCACATTGACGTTTCCCAGAAAACACTGTACTACCATAACTTTAGACTTTTAGTTTCTCCTGGAGTTAAAGTCATCCCAAAAGAAAATTGAAGACAATCCTCATCTCACTCATTCCACGTTAAGTAGGTAAAATGTGCCAAGGATTTTCGAAAAATCGAAGGTCAACAAATCAGACAAGTAGTTAGTTTAACCGAAAGGTGTATTGTTATTGAAGGGTAGAAACCAAAATTTGGTCAACATATCTTTTATCTATGTTAAGTCTATCTATATCAGCAGGTTTATGTTTATTTATTTGCCTCAGTCCTAGAGCCCAGTAACTGGATTGATGATCATTCAGTTGTAGCAGGTTTTCATTGTACCATTTAGGGATCTTATTACCTTCACTCAGCAGCTTGCCCTCAAGAATACTAGTAGACGAGCCCGAGGCAAAGGTTTGATGATCGTCTGTATACATAGAAATTTCCCCCTCTGTTATATAAGCAAGATCATTTTGAAATGAGTTCCACAAAAGGGCACCCGGCAAACGAGGCCCGTGAGGACATCCTCTTATTGTACAGTATTTCTCCACTGACGAGTCACAGAACTCAGCTTCAACCCTCTTTTTTCTGTGAGAGAAATACGAGCAAAGAAGATTGAGGGCCGAGATCCTTAGAAGCTGTATGATTCCAGTTTTTTCATGAGTAGTAGTGGGCTAACAGAATCAAATGCCTT